CACAATTTTTATTTAAATTTGGCGGCCTTTTTGTGAAGCCAAGCGGAACGTGCCAGCGATTGCACAACCAGGGCTGGTACTGATAATTCCTCTGCAGTTTGGTCGGAAACCTGAGAGCAGTATGACCTGTAAAAGCCGGACAATGATTTTCTACTTTATGATTTGATGGCCATTTTGTGCAACGATGCAGAACTTGCTGATAAGATTCACAGTTAGGGTTTGTACAGCAGACTCTATATATATATCTGGTGGTCTTTTTTGCAGCGAAGCTTAACGTGCGACTATGTATGCTACTGATTACTCCTGTGAAGTAATGTTGAGATCCCGTTAGCAGTTTGACCTGTGACAGATTTTTTTAAACTGATAGCTCCAGTGGCCATTATGTGCAGTTAAACGGAACGTGCCGGCGATATGCACAACTATGGATGGTACAGATTACTCCTGTGAACATTCAATTGAATTTTATTAGAAGTTTGACCTGTGATAATCGGACAAGCTTTTTCTTTTTACAGCATCGGTGTCAATTTTGTGCAGCAAAGCCGAGCATGTCGGCGATATGTTGCACACAACTAGGGTTGCTACTATTCGATTCTGTGAAGTTTGGTTGAAATCCCCACAGGAGTTTGAACCTTGAAAGCATAAAAACATGAATGCGGACTTACAGACAGACAGACGGCGAAGGCAAAATAAATATGTCTCCCAAAATGTTTAGGGGATATAACGATGCACAGAACACGTAGGTTTTAGATAAATGAAACGCCGTATCACAATGAAATCAATACTGATAGCTCTAGCAAAACAAATCAACCTTTAAACTCGGCTGTTAGATTTCCTCATAAATCATTTAAATGCGTTTATTAAAGGTCGCCGCTGGAAATCCATCCTAGACTGTCCAGCCGAGATTTTTTCGTCGATTATAAACCAACTTTTATTGGTGGGGGAAGACCCTAGGTGCCGTTCGGGCATTAGTACAGGCACAAGCGGGCACCTTGGTAGGACCATCGACCTTCCGTTAGCAGCTGGATGGCTTCCTCACATGAAAGATTTTGACCCGAGTGAGGATCGAACCTACAGCGGTGAGGGACCTGTGATCTCAAGTCAGCGACTTTTACTTCGTTAAACACATGAGGCATTGTGCTTTTATCATAAGCAAATTCCTCCACAAACCATAACCTTGGTCAGCCTCATACAGATACCATTCCATAGTGTAAAAGTAGATGCATTTTTCATTGAGTCTTTTTACAATCGAGTACGTCTGTTAGATAATTCTAAGTAGAATATGTTTCATATTTCCTAATCCTTCTTGCTTTTTTAAATTAAAGATGACACATGGTAAACATTTGCCTCCTAATGGCATGCACACGCATCAAAATTTCGTCAGTGAAGGACAGTTTAGCATTTAAACGTTGTTATTGAGACGTAGATAGTTTCCCTGCCTAGTTTCCAAGACCCATATTCTATAGGTATAAGGTTTTGTAACGCTAACTGCAGTATATAGCAGCCAACAGCTTCAGATATGCAAGGTTAGGGTGTCTGGTGCATTGTCCTGTCATTTGGTACAGCACACACTCTCACTGTTATGCGCTCTAGCGACATCATTGAGCTTTTTTCCTCATTTATGGCACGGCTTTAGTGTTCTCTTATATTCTCAATGTTGCATAGCACATGTACATTTGAAAATAAATAAGAATGCAAATATCAAATTTGTATAATTGCATATCATTGGAGACCTCTGATGGATCACTGTTTAATACCGCATAATCATGTTGAAAAAAGCATAAAATGTCCACAAAAAACAAAGTAGATTACGAATAGATATATTTCTCTTAGATAAAAGATTGCAATACATTTGCAAATTAAAGTCAAGCATTTTGTAGGTACACTGTTTTAATCACAATATGCAGTGCTCAAAATTATTGCCGATCAAAACTGTAAATCATTCAATGGCACAATACTAGTAAAGAATGAGTAGGAAATGTTGTATCATTTGTCATTAATATTATGAAAAATTCAATCATTTATTCGCACCAAAATGGGCAAGGTTTTATGTTTTGTTAAACCAATCGTCCAATTTTTTAATTCTGTTTCCCTGTTAAGATACACATTTTTTTGGCTTACTATTATCGTTTGTATTTCAAAGTGTGTATACTACAAATGTATACCAATAATTGTTTTACAACCCTCAAGAAAGTTGAAAACAACAGCACAGCTTTTGAAAATATCTGATTTAGTTCTGATAGGATTTGTTTGTTAATAACAAGAGCCAAAGCCGGGCGGGGTAACGGTCGACTTTTATAACTTTTCTAAAAGAAAACATATAAATAGTTCAAAAAAATAAGAGAAAAACAAGACATCCGTAACGCCGATATGACTATAACATCTTTTAATCAAAGAACGACAAACTACGTAGAACATTTTTCTCATAACGGTGGGTACAAATTCAATACAAAATACTCCAAACTGATGTTGCTAGAATTTTACTAAATATCAACACTGTGTTTCTTGTGCATATTAACAAATCGTTTTTTAGCTCGCCTGACCACAAAGTGGTCTAGGTGAGGTATAGTGATGGGCTATGTCCGGCGTTCGAAAAATCAGTTCGAAAATAGGTTATCTCCAGTCAAAAACTATGTCACAGGAGCAAGAATAGAAAAAGCTCGTTAACACTCTAGTGGCTGCAGTTTTGATCCAAATGTTCTGGAAATGTGTCAGGAAGGTTGTTTTGATGATTTCTAGGTCAAGATCGAAGATGAGTAATCTCCGTTTAAAAACTGGGTCACAGGAGCTAAAAATAGAACAAGTTTGTTAACACTCTAGTGGCTGCAGTTTTGATCCAAATATTCTGGAAATTTGTCAGGGAGGTTGTTTTGATGATTTCTAGGTCAAGTTCAAAGATGGGTCATCTCTGGTCAAAAAAAAAGTCACAGGAGCTAAAAATAGAAAAAAGTTTGTTAACACTCTAGTGACTGCAGTTTTGATGAGGATATTCTTAAAATTTGTCAGGAAGGTTGTTTAAATGATTTTAGGTCAATATTGAAAATGGGTTATCTCTGGTCAAAAACTAGGTCACAGGAGCTTAAAATAGAAAAACCTTGTTTACACTCTTGTGGCTGCTGTTTTGATCCAAATATTCTTGAAATTTGTCGAGAAGGTTTTTTTGATGATTTCTAAGTTAAGTACGAAGATGGGTTATCTCCGGTCAAATCCTAGGTCACAGGAGCTAAAAATAGAAAAACCTTGTTACCACTCTAGTGGCTGCAGTTTTGATCCAAATATTTTAGAAATTTGTCAAAAAGGTTGTTTTGATAATTTCTAGTTCAAGTTCAAAGATGGGTCATCACCGGTCAAAAACTAGGTCACAGGAACTCAAAGTAGAAAAAGTTTGTTAACACTGTAGTGGCTACAGTTCTCATCCAAATATTCTGGAAATTTGTTAAAAAGGTTGTTTTAAAAATTTCTAGGTTAAGTTCAAAGATGGGTCATCTCCAGTCAAAAACTAGGTCACAGGAGCTAAAAATAGAAAAAGCTTGTTAACACTTTAGTAGCTGCAGTTTTCATCTAAATATTCTGGAAATTTGTCAGTAAGGTTATTATGATAATTTCTAGTTCAAGTTAAAAGATGGGTCATCTCCGGTCAAAAACTAGGTCACAGGAGCTAAAATAGAAAAAGCTTGTTAACACCCTAGTGACTGCAGTTTTGATGAAGATATTCTGGAAATTTGTCAGGAAGGTTGTTTTGATGATTTCTAGGCCAAGTTCAAAGATGGGTCATCTCCGGTCAAAAACTTAGTTACAGGAGCTATAAATAGAAAAAAAGTTTGTCAACACTCTAGTGGCTGCAGTTTTGATCCAAATATCCTTGAAATTTGTCAGGAAGGTTGCTTTTATGATTTCTAGGTCAAGTTTGAATATGGGTCATCTCCAGTCAAAAATTAGGTCACATTGCCCAAATATGGAAAATCTTTTTAACACAATAGAGGTCACATTTTTGACTCAATTGTCATCAATCCTGGCTAGGATGCTTGTCTAAGATATTGCTTGAATGCGGTTGATGGTTCAGGGGAGCGATCCAGGGCCATCATGGCCCTCTTGTTTAATTTCCTTGTCGTTTTATTTAATTTTTGTTAGGTTTTAAATTGACACATCGGCAATGCTTTGCCTTGTGCTCTGTCCTGTTTTTGTTAGCTGTCCTGCTGTGCATCTTGCTGGTAGTTCCATGTTGCGGTATGGGGATGGGCTCATTTAATGCCACCCATTCTCGTTGATCTTGTTTTGTCATACTCTTTCACAATGGCAAACTTCTTGAGTGATTGCCCTCTCTTGAAATTAATGTCGATCCACTTTATCTTGCAAATAACATTGTCCCAACGTTCCGTTTGGCTCAGCACAAAACCGTTCAAAGAGCAAAGTTATAAGCAAAATGAATTACTAACATTTATTCAAAGTGATCAAGTCATTGACAAGGTTGAACGAGCCCTCACAAATGTACTGGAACCAGCACTTTTATTCAGTAAATGTTAACAATGTGGAATTATGCCGATCAATATGCATTTATAGTCCTTATTGCATGAGTCGATAAAGGCTCACTTTCCTGAAATGGTTAATTGTTGTATTGAGCACGAAGTTAATTTCGTTAAAGCATTGTAACACGATTTTTAAAGTTTGTTGGATGCTTTATCACATGTAAGCATTACATTTTTTTACCAAGATTTGTAAACTTTTTTTGCCATTCGGCCAAAGAGATCCATGCAAGATAAAGTGGTAAAAATTTTACTTCACGGTAGGGATATCACGTAAGATGTTTCTTCGTGTAAACGAAAACAGACAAGTTGATATTTCATTCCAGCAACGTCCATTCGAGTGTTTCTTATCGGATAACGTCCAAAATGATTAGAAAAATGTTCTACGTGGCAAAGCATTCATCCTTTATTTAAAAGACAAGCATGTTCTTTCAAATCGGATGTTTACCTTCCCTAGCTTTATTTTGGCGGGGATCTTCAAAGGGAGTGTGAATGACTATAATTTAAACATGTAAAAGAGCCATTGTGATATTATAAACGAAGGTGGTACATTCATAAATGTTTTTCTTACCTTCTTTCTTCTTTTGATAGGTATCCTCAGAGATCTTAGCATTGGCATCGTTTCCTCTTGCTGCAAACATATTTCAATAAGCGTAATACATGACGAACTCGAAGAAAATTAACATATAGGTATGATCATTATTGCCAAGCAAAATAGAAATATTTGAATAAATTAGATGTATGGACAAAATTGTTTTAACGTACTTTTTTGTAATTTTTGATTAGTTAATGTTTGTAAGAATATATGTAAGCTTAGATAACTAAAGTATTGTCTTACATTTTTCTGCAGCTTTTTGTATCTCCTTTATTGCATTTTCTTTTTCTTTGTTGAGATTTTGAACGCCATCATTGGTAACACTTTCAATGGTTTCTTTACCTTTCCTTGTCTGACTGTCTATCTCTTGAATAGATTCTGTCACCTTAGCCTCAAAAGCATCAATTGACGATTTCACTGCGGCATCGTTACCTCTTGCTGAAAACATATTTCAATAAGCATAATGCATGTCAAACTCGAAGAAAATTAACATATAAGTATGATCCTTATTGTCCAGCAAAATAGAAATGTTTGAATAAATTAAATGTATGGACATTTTTTTAACGTACTTTTTGTAATTTTTGTTTAGTTTATGTTTGTAAGAATATATGTAGGCTTAGATAACTAAAGTATTATCTTACATTTTTCTGCAGCGTTTTGTATCTCCTTTATTGCATTTTCTTTTTCTTTGTTGACATTTTGAACGCCATCATTTGTAACACTTTCAAGAGTTTCTTTTCCTTTCCTTGTCTGCCTGTCTATCTCTTGAATAGATTCTTTCACCTTAGCATCAAAAGCATCAATAGACGATTTCACTGCACCATTCAGCTGGGCAAGTGAAACATTTCCCTTCTCTTCAATATCTTTTACTTTTAAATTTATAATGTTAATCAGCTCTAATTTTCTTTCTTCAGTCTTCTGTTTGTACTCATCCATCTCATTTCTTATTTGTTCCTGAATTGTTTTACCTACATCGTCCAAAACTTTACGTACAACGTCTTTCCCAATGATCAAATCGTCACTTTGAAGCTGAAATTATGGAAAAGGATTGAGTGCATTGAACTATTGATTATCAATCCTTACAGAATACTGTGTCATATACATGTATAATGACGCATTTCATACAACAATTAAGTTAATATTTATCTATCTATTTTCATAGTCTTTTGTCCCAAATGTTTTATATCCGGATTGTCCTAGCCGTTTCAAAGATGAAACAATTTGAAACATTTATGATTAAGTAATTCAGGGATGCTAGGAATGTCATAGAACATTTAAAAAAGATATTAATACAAGTATTTAAAAATAATATATTTGTCAAATTTTCTTAAGTTAATTCAATAAGTGCAAGAAAATCGGCCTTAATACTTTATTTCATTGAGGGGATTTTGTTTAAAAACAGTCAACAAACTATTTCAAGTCTGTTTTAGAGAATAACTTTTATGGGAACTAGGAAATAATGTCAGGATGACAAAGTTAAATTTGACATAATGATTGTTTTATTTGCATCATTTTATATAATTGATTTAGCCATTGTGTAAAGTTTGATGGTGGTTTTACTATTGAAACAGCTGAAAAGCTTTTGTAAGATAAATTACATTTAAGGCAATACCACTACATGCTAAGTTTATTTTATGGCCTCTTATTTTGAGCTAAAAACGAAAATTTAGTCAAAAACTATTCTCAAGGTATCAATTCAGTGGGTAAAGTAAGAAGCGAATAATACAGGTTATGACCCCTGTTGAGTAGGATACCCTCACTATTATTCGCATCGTCGTGATAGAAAATAGAAACAAAAATGATTACCTTCGCCAATTTCTGAATTGCATTGTTTGGTGATTTATTTATTGCTACAAATCCAGGATCGGTCAAAATGTTGTTTAAAATGGCAAAATAGTGTGTAAGATCTGTATCCTCGACCTCCAGATTAGGAGAATGCCTGACAGCTTTACCAACATCTCTACCCTAAATGGAAATATGTTAATATAGTTTGGTCAAGTGAAAAATTCAGAACGATATTTCTTTTACAAATAGACGTTAAAGATTAATCTCAACAAATTTCGTTAAGACACTTGTAGGACACGTCTTTACGGTACAAAGATTGACAGACTGAGATTTGAAACGAAAATAACAAAACAGTTTTATGTAGCCAATTGCTCGTTCATACTTATTTCAATAATGACTCACATGATCTTTCACTGATACCTTATATGAAGCAAACAGTTGTAATATTAAAGAAAATTTAAAAACAAAATTAAGTATACAATAAATATAAATTTCATTATTTAACTGTTACCTTGTCAAATATATTATTCTTCTTGGACAAGTCGTCTTTTATTTTCGCCTCAAATCCTTTGTGATTAATAATGACACTAATGATGCCATTAAAATCAGTCTCTCCAGCGTTCGATACATCCTTGTATCCGTCTGGCGGGAGATAACATTTGGCAATTTCCCAAGCATTGCTGCACCATTTTGTTGCGTCTGTATTTTTATACGATGGACCATGATATCGATGTGCTTTTTGAATCTCAGATTTTAGATTATGACAAATTTTATTCGGGCAACCAGACGGACGATACTGAGTTGCAACGTTAATATGATAATAACATTTTCCACGATTTACGTTGCAAATTCTGTTTGTTGGACAAACAATCAGATTTTCCGTACAGCAGTTAGAACAGGTGCTTCCAGCTGGTAAGAAGTTTGCTGAGGAAATCACATGTAGACAGTCCTGTTGGAAATCTTTGACTTCAGCAATAACAACTGGCTCTATTTCTTCTTTGGTATAAAACACAGCCAGTGCAGCCTTTATCCAGTTGAAAAATTTGGAGTTTGATAAAGGTTCAGACACAGTCGGCACAGATGCAGCCATGATTTGCTGTTTCTGATAAGTTAAGTTATCGTCTAATGTTCCTTAAATAGAAAATGTCTTGATTAATAATCGACAATATTGGCTACAAATCACGTTTTAACACAAGTTTAGAATAGCATGCTATGCATAATAAAAATGTGTAAGTGTATGAAGGACATAATTATATAACATAATTTGTATTGAATATGTTTGATACAAATTTTTCATTTTCAATGAGACATTACTACATGTATAACGTATTTGTAAGAGGTGAATAAGCAAAGTGAAGCAAAAAAATGTTATTTTTACAAATGAACAATATATTGCTCAAGATTCTTAGTATTCTAAGCTAGCAGATTATTAAATATCCTTTAATCCGTCTTTTTTGTTTTTATGCCTAAGCTAAATTAAATCATTCCATTTCAGCTTCATTAACTTCCGATTAAAACTTCATGAATTCAAGATTTCATCTTCATATTTTCAGGATTTCAACTTCATCAAGTTGAAATTTCGAATTCATGAAGTTGAAATCTCGAATTCATGAATAAGTTACCTTAGATTCGTGAAGTTGAAATCGTGAATTCACGAAATTGAAATCGTGAAGTTGAAACCGTGTATTCATAAAAATGAAATCGTGGAGTTGAAATCGTGAATTTGTTAATTCTGTAAATTGAAAACGGGAATTCACGAGGTTTAAATTGTAAATTCATGAAGATGAAATCTGGAGTTCGTGAAGTGGAAATGGCCCTACCGGTCTTTTGTATATATTTATCATTTTCCTAAACCACTGTCTGCACACCAGATATTGCTCACATGATTGTTCTTCAAAGAGGATTTGCTCGTCTATTAAATTCAAAGCTTGAAATCGGTGTTCGAAGTCAACAATTGTAATTTTTTACCGTTGGTTTTAGGCCAGTAATAATCTCAGTTATTACCTCCTATTTATAAAACGTACAAGTCCTCCATGATTGGTCTTTATTGATTCAGTTATCAATTTTCAGTTTGAAAATCGTCGATTTATTGTCTTTGCTCGCTCGCAAGCGAAAGTTTTAGTGGACAAGAAGTGTACTTGTGCTCTGTGCATGCTCATTTTGAAATCCCATCACGAAGCCATAAGTTATAGCGCACACATGAAGTATAAAGTAATACTATCAACAAACATGAAAAAAATGTGTTTCAATTTTAATCAATAGAAATACATTTGGTTTTCCTGTTATCATACAGCGTAATGGGTTTCTGGATTCAATTACACTTGTGCTGTTTAGTATACATTTGCTTTTACAGTCTTAGCTATTGACTAATGACTTTCATGTCTAGTAATGGTATACCTTTAGTGGTAATCATATATTATGTTCATTACTTAAAGAAATTTTGCTTCCAACGGGCGATAATATGCCTAACCGAACTAAGCTTAATGTTTTTATTTTTCATAAGTTGATTTGAACCTCTTTTCACATAAATTAGGCTTTAAACGAGAACTGTGGAATTTATTTGCGTTAATCTTGCGAAAAATATTGAAATTCAAAAACCGTTTTACTGGCTAATCATTTTAATTGCATTTTACCGATGACAGATTGCGATCAGGCTTTAGTCATTCAGTTGAGTACGGCGTTATCTATAGGATACACTTGAGTTAATAAAAAATAAAAGCATATTGCACTCTTAGGATGTTTGTTAGGAGAAAGGGTTTAGTTGACCACCACAATATTTACCGCCTTGAACTATGTGTTGATGTAGATAAGCAGTATTTGAAGAAATACAAGATACACCAAAGTTTGACTTATTCAATGAAGTTACAATTGAGACTACACTTACACAAGGTCAAGATACACAAATAAGGAACCTACTGTTAAAGCATCAAGATATATTTTCAGCGATGGGGCTTTCGCCCTGGGAGAGTACAACTGTGACATTGTATACAGAGCAGACCTTAAAAATTGAGATGCAGACGGAATGTCAAGATATCCCTATCAAAAAATATTGGTTGATCAAGTATGTTTAAAAGATCAAACAATAAAGTATGTCTGTTCAAGTCTGAATTGTACACCTTTTAACATCATAGAAGTAACAGACTCTCCCAGCTTACCCTTGGCTCAAATTGAAATTAGAGAATTGAGAAAAAGTCAAAGAGAGGATCCCCTTATTGGTAAATGGATAAAAGCAGTTGTGGATAAACAGTTACCTCATAAGAAAATATGTAACTCTAAAAGTGACATCTCCATGAAAAAGAATTTCCAACATTTCCTGATGATCAGAGGCATTCTTTACAGAGAAACCATTGATAATTTGACACAAGTAAAAGTTAAACAGTTAGTTTTACCTGAAAAATACAAGATGGACGTTTTAAGAGGACTACACACAGAAGTTGGACATCCGAGTAAAGACAGAACACTTTCATTAATACGAGAAAGATTTTTTTGGCCTGGTGTATACACTGATGTGGAAAAATATGTAGGATCATGTGACAGATGTTTGAGAAGAAAATCACCAACAAACAGTAGAGCACCTTTGAATAGTATTGAATCAACATATCCTTTAGAGTTAGTTTGTATGGACTTCTTGACAGTGGATCCATGTAAAGGTGGATATGGGAACATCTTGGTAATTACGGACCACTACACAAAATATGCATTGGCAATACCAACTCATAACCAAACAGCTAAAACAACGGCAGAGGCTTTGTATAACAACTTTATCGTAAACTATGGCGTACCATCAAGAATCCATTCAGATCAGGGAAGAAACTTTGAATCTAATATTATAGCAGAATTGTGCAAGTTATTCAATATAGACAAGTCAAGAACTACTCCTTACCACGCCATGGGCAATGGAATTTCCGAAAGATACAATAGAACACTTCTAGACATGTTAGGCACCTTACAACAAGATCAGAAGCCAGATTGGAAGAAATACCTGTCGACATTAGTTTTTGCATATAACAGTACTAAGCATGAGACCACAAAGTTAACACCTTATGGACTGATGTTTGGAAGAAAGTCAAGGTTACCTGTACATTTTCTATTTGAAACACCCACAAATGAAAGTTCTAACGATTCAGCAGATCCATAAACATTTGAAGAGGAATTAAAGCGAAGAATAAAATCAACACAAGAAGCAGTTAAAAAGATTTCTGATCAAGCACGAACCAAACAAAAGCATAACTATGATCGCAAAGCAAATGCAGCTCATTTTAAAGTTTGAGACACTGTTCTTTAAATAATCCTAGCATTTGAAGGGAAACATAAAATTGAAGACAAATTTGAAAAGGACCCTTGTAAGATAATAGGCCAACCCAACCCTGATATACCTGTATTTGATGTAAAATCAGAAGATGGTAGTGTAAGAAGACTACATCGTAATCATTTATATCCATTAGAGTTTCTGGAGAAAGAAGTAGTTTCTGAGTCGAATAATGGAGAAGTCATGATTAATGATACTAGAGTCAGGGAGAAGAAAAAGAAAGAAGATTAAAGAGAATGTTTAAATGATGTCGACATCAAAGACGAAGAAGACAGTAGGGGAGAAGAGATTGTATTACATACATTCAAATTTGAGGACGCCTGTACTCCAAATACTTAGAGTAAGACATTGACAAATGTACCAGAGAAGAAGACTACAGGTGATGAAAAAAGTGGGGATATAAATAAGAAAAAAGTAAATAAAGAGAAAGATCTGGAAAAAACATAAAGATGAATCTCTAAGCAGTCACACTGACAGCAAGAGTAAAGATTAAGGGACAGATTTAGAATCATGTGAAGAAGCTTATATTACCCAAGAAGATGCAAATCTTAAAAATACAGGTATAAATACACAAGGAGGAAGTAAAATTAAAGATTCAGGGCCAAGAAAATCAGAAAGGGTACGGAAAAAGCCGAAGTGGATGTCAGATTTTAAAACTTATCAGATGACCACAAGATCTGTTGATTCCAGACTGAAAAGTTTACAAAGCTTGTTTAATTCAGGCATTTTGGATGCCATGAGCGCAGAAATTGCAGAGAATTTGGTCAGTTCTGTATGGAAATACTAAATCTTGGATGTTTTAAGTTATGTGTAAAACATTGTTTTTAGAATTAATCTTTATGTACTTTATATTGTATATTTGATATTGCAGGAATACAATTTTTGAAAGTGGGGAGGAAAAGGGAAGTAAATTAAACACCTCTTTATTTATTTTCAAAGAGCATAATATCCAGAGAAGTGCTTTATTAACAAATGGGTCTTGTTTTTCAGAGTTTACTCAGAATTTGTTGAGAAAAGAATTATATTTGATTAAAAACTGAGTATTGTATTTAATATTGCAATACAATTTCTTTATTACAGTTTTTATGTGGTTTAATGTATTTTATTTCACAGGGATGTGTGTCCTGAAGTTGACGTACCTGCTTTAATCATGATTTTATATTAGGGTGACTTTTATTGCCTTAAGGTGGTTAAGGTGTTTCTAATATAAAGGTGAGTCAGATAGTTCTTTTATTAAGGTGGTGTAACCATTATTTTTGGAAAATGACCGTTGTCATTTTAATCAGGCCAGGGGAGAGTGTAATAAGGTGTAGTTTTCGGGTAATCTGTGTTTTCAGATGTACCCCAGCTTTCCGGTGTTTTTATCCATATTGTTAAAGTTACAGTTTTTTCCCCTTAACTTTGGCGGGAATTTGTACATGTCATGGGCATCTCGTTTTCATTCTGTTCAGTGCGTTGGTTGGTAGTCATTGAAAGAGGAATGTCTCTCTGTTAAGAAATTTGATGTTTCTTACACTTTAACATTTTTCTATTTGGTTGAAAACAGGTCATTGTTTTGTAAGGTAACTTTTGCAATGGCTCAAGTAATTTATTAAAGAATTATTTTCTTTGTTATTTTGGCTAAGAAATGTACATGCATCATTTTGAAGAAAAATCAAAGATTTACTACTTTCAACTTTTTATCCTAATTATTCTATCTTTTACTTATCTCGACGAATTTGCATGCATATAATAATTGATGCATTGTTCTTCACAGCAGCACTCGGTGAGATTCATTTGTGTGGATGATGGCGTATATCTTAATCGTGTAAAAAGGGCTAAA